TTATTATAACATAACTAAATTTTTTTTACACATTTGGAAAGATTATTCACTGTTAAGTTCCGTCATTTGGTAATCATATCTGTATGCAATATTTTATAATTAAAAAAAAAAAAAGAAAAAGACGGGCATATACTTCGCACGATGGGTGCAGGCACCTGTTGTTGGTAAAAAGTCGGGAACGCAGGATGTAGTGAGAAAATTAATTTGTATCTGCGAGCAACAATAAACCATTGCTAACGAAAAAACAATTTTGAGCCGTCTTCAACTGATAGTGTTGCTTTTTCAACAACATATAATATATATCATGATAAAATAATTACTTATGCATTAAACATTTACTTTAATAATATTTATTCAATATTGTACCTATTATCCAGTTCTCCCGTTTTTCTTTTTTTTTTTTCTTATTTTTTTCAATGCATTGAGAAAAATCCTGAAAGAATCAAAAAATGTCCTCCCGAAAGTACCACCCCAGTAAGATTTCTTTTCAGAAAAAGTGCTACACTTGTAAATCTGAGTAATACTAGTTCACAGATATTAAAAAAAAAAAAAACATTATTGTAAACCCATAAGCTTCTTCGCTCTACTCAAAATCTAAAATGTGATGAGTTCGTTCAGTGAATATATGTACATATGTGCCTATATTTCATTATTTGTATTATTTGTATTTAAAGACATTTTAAATTTTAGAAAATTAAAATTAAAATCTTATTTTGTACTTCAAAATGTCAGCATAATTTGTTGACATAAAATACGTTTTAAAATTTAAAGAAGCGGCCTACCGGGAAAACTCCCAAATTACCGGTGGCACAATCCATCAACGCCTACAGAGATACATTAAATTACCTATAGTAGTGGCTGCACCTGTTCCCATTATCCTAGGACAGATTTTTTTATTATTATTACTAACTATTTATATATTTTTTGAGTTAAAACAGAAAAAAACAAAATATATTCCTAATATGACATTTCACACGACTTAAAAAAATTGTAAAATCATTTTTTTTCCCTAAATATTCGTTTTTTGATTAGGATTTGAGTATTATTATGTTATATAAAGTCATAATACCATCTGATATTGTCAGTATCATATTATTGGATTCGCTATAAACATGGAATATATTATAAATTATAATTGTTTATTCAAATCGGCCTTGTGCTGTAATTAACATAATATCTATATTGTCAACAATTTAAATTGATTAAACTGATATCTTAAGACTATATTATTAACGATATAGATGTTTTAAATTTGTTGTTATTAATTTTTAAAAAACTTCGAGCAGTAGATGTATACCCTAGTTGCTATTAGAGTTTAGAATTTAAAAATAAAGGTAATATAATGGGGACGGGTGCAACCACTGGTGTAGGTGAGAAGTTAGGAAGGTAGGATATAGACGAGAATTTAATGTATATCTATAAGCAACGATGAACCATTGCTTACGAAAAAACGATTTTGAGCGGAGTTAAGTTGATAGTGACGTATTGTCAACAATATATATGTCATTTTATAGTAAAATAACTAAAAAGATTTTATATATTATCTGTAATAAAATTTGTTTAATGTTGTACCGATTTTCCCAGTTTTTCTACGTTTTTACCGGTTTTCCCATGTTTTATCCCGGTTATTCCCATTTGGTGGGAAAACTATTAGGAAAATCAAAAAATGACCTCTCTAAAATACCTCCCTAGTGAAATTTCATTTCAAAACATTGCCATCATTAAAAATTGGAGCAAAATTGCTGGCAGAAAAGTTGTGCATAGGAAAAAAGAAGGCCGTTATATATATTAACTAATACCTACATTTCTTATATTTTCCCGTTTTTTTCCGGTTTTTCAAATTCGATGAGAAAACTTTTGAGAAAATCAAAAAATGTCTACGCGATTTCCTTTCAGAGAAGGTGCTACATCTAAAAATCGAAGCAAGATTTCTGGTATAAAAGTTGTCCACAAAAAAAACTAAATCATGAGCTTCTTCGCTCCACTCAGAATCTAAAATGCATACTTGCAATTTATTTTATTTTGGACAACTTTTATACCAGAAATCATTATTTGATTTTTAAGTGTAGCACTTTCTCTGAAAGAAAGTCGGACTGGGAAGGTACTTTAAGAAGGTAATTTTTCGATTTTCCAAGAGTCTTACAAATGTGAAAAACCGGTTAAGAAAAATGGGGAAAACGTAGAAAACTGAAAAACTTGGTATAATTTTAAACAAATATTATTAAAGAAAATATAACATGTCTACTTAATTATTTTACCGTAGTATGACATATATATTGTTGACAAAGCATCACTACAATGAAACTCCGCTCAGAATAGTTTTTCGTTAGCAATGGTTTGTCGTTGTTTACAGATATACATTAAATTCACTTCTGTATCCAACTTTCCACGTGTGAAGTAGTTACGCCTTTTTTTTTTTATATATATAAATAGCAATAAATTTCCCTGAACCCCGTCTAAGAAGCAAGTAAGTTGCCGATTTGACCGCAGTTTAAGTTTTATTTGGGATTTTTTCCCCCTCGTTCAATCAAAATGCGTACCTAGGTACTTACAGACGGATGTCTGTGTAGTATACGTATATAGGCATAATTTATCAAAAGTCTAGTCTGGTTTTTTCATTCGTGGGTTTTGGATTTCCAGTATTGAATCTAGATAATTTTTCTAGGTGGAGCATTACTGACATTTTAATAGTGACCTTAATAGTAATGATTTTTTTTTTTTGCTTATCTATACCCTCTTACTAAGACCAGTCAAATGTGTTTAGTTATTTTATTAATTATTAATTTACCTACATTTAACAGGGGGGGGGGGGGAAACAAAATTTCAGGTGAGCACTATTGCCTTTCCTGACATATAACTGGATTCAACACTGTCTGATTCAATTGTTATAAAAATTCAAAATTAGTACAGATATACAGATAATAATACATATATATATATATATATAATGCAGATACGTTCTATATTATTACATTATAACGTACATGATTAAAAACGGTCAATTTTCATGCTCGTATTATAGTAGAGGCTGTATACAGGTAAACATTGATAATAATAATATTGATACGGGTGTATAATGAAAATTTGCACGCCGTTTACACATTTTCGAACGATGATAACCGTGATGGTCGTCGTTGTATACGACCACGGATATCTGTACTATATTATAGTATAATATAGATATCTGTATGCACGACGAATAGGATAAATTATTACAAATAATTCGCATTTAAAATACGATATATTATTATTCAAAGGTCCCTCTCGGTCGGACGCGATAACCATAACATTATCATAATGGTATTACCACTGTATACCTGCGCGAGGTACCTATCTAATCCGAATGGAAAAATGTCGACGCGGAGTTTTCGAAACGTATACGGAATCGGTCCATATCGCATGTATACGACGATATTGTAGTAATATACCTGCGATAAAATAAATATAAATGATCAACGCCGTTTTACACCGGCGCTCTCTCGATGTGTTCTCTGTGCCCGCGACGGCGACGGCGTCACAGCACAAAGAGATACGCGGGATGAACGACACACGCGCGCACACACACGCGCATATTACAATGTATTGTATTATATTACGTATAACATACTATTGTTATAAATCCCGAACGATTATCCTCTCGGAATTCTGCAGCTGGCGTTATATTATAACCGTTTATCCCGTTTAACGCGAAATGTGTGACTTTTGAAAGACTTATTGTATTATTAGGTAGGTATCTGCAGGTTTATAACTACTTATTCGGGCGCCACCGGTGCGCGAATGATAATATAACGGCGTGTATAGATAATAGGTATATTACACCCATATAAAATCCGCCGAGCTCATTGTTTCACGTCGCTATTATCACTATACTATTATTATTGTTGTTAATCTTGTTTTTATTCCGCACGAATTTAATAATATTATCATCATATTATTATATCTCATATGCATACATTATGCGTTGCATCATTAATTTGTATCCCATTTTTTACGACAGTTTATATGAAACAAGCAGAATAGTGTTTAGTAAAGTAGTGGAGCCGTATACACTTTAGGAAGGCGTATAATACTACGGGTTTAGCGAACCCGTACTGCAGGTACGTTTCTGTAGGTCATATGATGGTATTGTTTCTGTAGGGTGTGAGAATTCATTTTGTAGTTGATTATACCATTCCCCTGTAGGAGGGGCTTAGTATATTCCCATGGTACCTGTTCTACCTGTTGTGAGAAATGACAAATGGAAGTGCGTCAGGTCGAGAGCCGGTGTAAAATTCCGTTAAACAGTTTTGAGGTGTTCTAAACAAGAACACCTCAAACTGTTTAACGCGGATTTGCGCGGGGGCAAAAGGTGCGTGATGTTTGCAAATGATATAGATTTGAAAGGGGAAAATCTGGAATAAATTAACAGAGAAACGGAGAGTAGCACCAGGAGGAAATGGACTAAGGATAAGTAAGTATACTCTGTGCCCCGAGAGATCACACCCGGCCGACGACCGAAACGTGTATATTTTCGCGCATGCGGGCATGTTCCACCATAAATCCTCGATGGAGGTGCGGTCCTTTGTGGCCTGGATTATAGAAGTAAAACAGAGTATGAGTTTGGATGAACAGGACAAGACAGCTAACGATAATAAGCGGTTGTAGAAGAAGTTGAGAGTTCTAAGTACCTAGGATCTTTTGTACGAAAGAACGATCACTTTCATAAGAATGTGAGACATAAGATTAATTGTGGTTGGTAAAAGTTTTACAAAAGTGTGGTGAGACCGACTATGTTGTATGATTCGGAGTGTTGGGTGATAGACAGACAAATAGAACAGAGAATAAGTGTAGCTGAGATGAGAATGTTTGGGTGGAATGACGAGAGAAGATAGGATAAAGGATGAGTACATAAGAGGTAGCTTAGACGTGGCTTCAATATTAGACAAAGTGAAAGAAAATAAACTGAGATGGTTTGAGTATGTCACTGGGGCTGGAAGGAATCTGAAGTAGTAAAAACCGTAATGGAAATAAACGTAGAAAGAAAAAGGTGGAGAGGAAAAGACCGAAAAAGAGGTTGTTGGATGGGATTGAGACAGCTAGTGTATGCAAGGCGGGAGACCTGGTCAAATGGAAGTTTAGACCGAGGGTGGCGAAGGAGAAGAAGAAGTAATGGGACATTATTAAAACGCTGCTCATCACACAATGACAACGCTCCACTATTCTCTGTTTACCCAAACTTAAAAGTAGAATATTTCATCAACGGGTGAACGTTAACTAGTTCGTAAACGATAGTAATAAATTATCCAAAATATTTTAAGGTTTAATATTTTTAAGTCGTTTTTATAATAATACGTTTTAATGATTTTTCAGAAATAAAACAGCAGGTCAATTAATTGCCGTTATACAAATATCCCATATTCATTGTAATTTATTCTTGCGCCCGGCCATAGCAATTTATCGAAATTAACAGTGCCTCCTTTACCATTAATTCTGATAATGTTTTCACTCGTGCCCACGCGTTTGTAACCCAACTAGAAACGCAGTATCGACAGTGTAAACTATAGATTTTCTAATGTCATTCCTTGTCACCGATGGGCGGTGAATACTAACAACATCAACAATTATTGCAGGAAATATAGCATTTTAATAACATAATAATTGTTTTCGAGTATAAGAAACTGAGTTTTCAAAGACGAATTTAACGGTACAATGTAAGGATGGAATCTAAATATATTTTCGGTCCGGTATAATTAAGGAAAGACACTAACAACGCCGTATACGAAGGGTAGGTGGTTGGAGGTTAAACGCTGTACCAATCGAAATTTTTTTAAGAGTATTGTTTAATATTTTCAAAATAAATGCTAATTATGTTTGTTACAAAAATAATAGACGATTTAATTGAAAACCCCTTATACAAATTTGGTCCAGCTACGGCTTTGGATACCAATACACGTCATATTTTCATTTCACGTCAACTATTTCCTTTAACATTCGAGTCTATATTTCTGACAATTGGAGTTTTCAGTTTTTATATTCTCCAACATAATGCATAGTGCATCATTAAAAAAGTTATCAAATACCGATATTGTTCGCGTGAAATAGTCAGAATAGTGATAATCTTTGTTCATTGATCGAATCGTTGGCCCAAGAGTTTAAACGTTTGTTTAAGCAAATTCTTTTAAATATACGTAACTCCCTTTATACATGCAAGTCTAACCGAACTTTGCTCAGAATTGTTTTTTTTATTAACAATAGTTTATCGTTGCGTACAGACATAAATTAAATAACTTAATGTATTCTATATTCCCGATTTGCCATCTACGACATCGGCACACTCATTTCCAGTATCAGTTATTTTTCGAAATTCCCATTGCTCTTTCTGGAAAACTGATAACAATAATGACGGTGTATTGGTGTTTGTTACATTGGGTACAAGGAGAAAAGCCACGACTAAAATCTATCCGTTCAGAATCGTTTTTCGTTTTTAATGACTAACCGTTTTATATAATATAGTACAAACATTAAATTATCCAATACATACTCGTAGTTTCCCAACTTTACGCCTACCCCCGTGAGCAGTATCTAACGTTTTTATTATTACATTTGACGTATACAAATTGTATACTTACGCTATTATACACGATCTATACATGATCAACTGTAGCTACCTATACACAGTGTATGCGAAAGTAAACTACCAACCGCCGCACGTGAATAAACCCATATAATATATTATAATCTTCATTGACTACTTTAATTATTAATTTATAACCCGCTACTTCGCCTATATTGTTGGGTATTAATTAAGGAGAGCTTGTGAGTTCGGCGGGAGCGGTCGACTTCTCTACTAACTAGTGTATTCTAACAACTATACAGACACTGTAGTTACTCGGTATACTTTTATAACCAAAGTTTGACGGTTTTACAATCACTCGACTATATTATATTACTACGTTAACATAATAATTTTCAAATAATATATTTCTGCAGTATCAATACAAATTCGAAAAACGGACGCTAAAAACTGTATCGAGTAGATACAGTTGCGCGGGTATTTACTGTCGAGTCGAACACCGTACATTATGTTCGAAATGGCTCGCCGAAAACATTTTTTTTTACAAAGGTAAACGCAGTGTATCGATAATATTTAATTTGTAAAATAATAATGTTAGACCATAAAATATGCCTTTTGGTTTTGTTTGACGGTTCGATTTAAGTAGGTATTTAAGTATTTCACTATTTAAGTAGGAGCGGATCCAGAACAAGATAACTGGAGATTTAGTGCAATGTTACCAGATGTTCATAAGATTACGTAGATATTTAACTATTTGACTTAGTTATAGCGGTTTACGTGGGGTATTTCTAACTTTTATAGTAACATTTATGTAACGTACAACAGCGATACAATTGTTGTATATCAAATACGTTTTTGTTGTATTTAATTATGCACCGATAAATTATATTCAGCTCTATACAATGAATTGTTTACAAAATAACTTTTATATGCCCGTGGTATATTTTTTCTTGCCAGGAAAATCCAAACATACCTACATTTACATATGATTATCTCTTCAGGAGTTAAGTGAAAAACTAATTTTATTTTATAGTAGTTTGTAGTTAGTGAAACAATTGTTATACAATTTATATTACCCAATTCAATTGACAAAATTTTAACATTGACATTTTTAAGTTCATCGGCTTTTTTTATAACGTTATATTATTTAAGACAATTAAATGAATTGATAATAATAAATAAAAAAAAATGGCAATATTGTCCAATAAATTTTACGGAATCGTGTATTTACCGCATTTGTAGACATAGTAATTTAATGATAGACATAATATTGGATATATCATAATTTTAATATTAATCTATTATATTATATTATATTGTTATATTAAGCACAAACATTTTTTTTTATTTACCAACATTTATGGATTTGAAAATAATTTATACCTAATAATAATTTTCTTTCCATAACTACTCAATTTTTAAATACTAAATTCAATAATGATAATCAACATTTCAACAAACTATTGTATGCAATATAATTTAACTGTTTTATTATAATTAATCATTTACAATTATAACTAGAACTTACTTATTACATAAAGATGTAATAATAATAATAATAATAATAATAATACAATTTCTGTTTTTAAAATTCTACAGATCCTGATATTACTATATTCCAATCACTGATGTGTATGATAAAATAATATATTATATTATATTTTGATTGTATTTGTGTTGTAAAAAAAATGTTTGCCCCCCAGATCTTTGCTCTGGATCTGACCCTGATAAGAAGATACAAGAAATTATATATTTTATGTAACATGAATACTGATCTAATATAGTGGATAAACGAATTGCAAATACTTGCGGTGTCATGTTTTTCGGATATTATTCGTCAATCAGAAGATAATATAAATCCGGGCACATGTAAACTCCCTTAAAATGGAATAAATTCCCCTAAAAATATTTTGCTACTGAATTACACATATGTGAATTCCCCTGAAAAATTATTATGTATATATTCCACCTACAGACTGTAGTAGCTTCATCCGAATTGACAAAAACAAAAAAATAATTCTGAATTATTTCGTTCTCGTTTTGACGCAAATTTTAACCATAATTATCCAAACATTTTTGTTTTTATAGATACGTTAAAAAATATTCAAACACAAAATGTATATAAAATTACAAAGCATACAAACATGATACACCAAATAATTATCATAATAATAAATTAAAAAGACAACAACAATTATTAAACCAGCTCATACAAAATTATCAAGAACAAAAAATGACTGTATTTCATTGCATTAAATCGGTTTCACATTATTATTCCATCAATAAATATCCATAAAATAAATATTGAACGAGAAAAAAATATGAAAAATGACGAAATGAAACAGGCAGAAATATTGAACATAAAATATAAATAAAAATTACTATGACGAAATAAAATATATAAAATAAAATATGAATGAAGAATGCATAACTATAAATATAAATACAAGAAACGATAACTATTTTTTTGAGGATGACTAGAACCGCCTCCACGCGTGGTGTCCCCTGGATAACGCTAAATGGTTTTAATTTTTTTTAATAGTGTAATTAAGTGCAAAAAGGTTTTAGGGGAATTTACATCGGTGTAATTCCAGTAGCAAAATGGTTTTAGAGAGTTTACCATTAGAGGAATTTACTATTTAATTTTTTAGGAGAGTGTACATTTGCCCTATAAATCCATAATAAGTGGTAATTAATGGTATCTAAGTACCAAAAAATGTAACCAAGTCGATTATTGTGCGCATTAATCCGCGGACATTAATCCACACACATCTATGTACATAGGTACTTATTATAGGTATTATAAGTATGATACGTTAAAATAAAAGTATATAAAATAAAAAAAACCCGATATTTTAAACATTTGTGGGTGTACTGCACACGTCAGACACGTACCATTATAATTGCAGTCGCAAATTATTTTATGGCAGTACAGTTTCGGTAGCTACATAAAACTCGAAGCAGTCGATCATGAAATATAAATTATTTTGCGCCCACGACATTTATAATAGATAGGTATCGTCGCTGTCGAATTTGTAATTTCGTTATTATCGACGAACGGTCGTATTCGACGAATTTTTTAATTTTGACCTATATATTATGATAATTTTTTTTTTGAATTATTGTACAAAAATAAAATGGTTTTATTCGAACCTGTGGAAAAAACGAGTTATCTGTTTACAAAAAAAAAAAAAAAACACGGGGAGTCGCTATTGTATATGAGAAGTTGAAAGTATAGAGTGGAATTTAAATTATATTTGTACGAAACGATAAACTATTGCTAACGAGAAACGATTCGGAGCGATTTTTTTCTTTTATACGCATGCGTGCACATTTTCCCGATTTTCCCAATTATTATGAAAACCGCTCGGAAAATCAAAAAATTACCTCCCAGGTAACATTTTCCTTCAGAAAATGTGCTAAACTTAAAAGTCGGAACAATATGTCTGCAATAAAGTAATAAAAGTTGTTTACAGATAAAAAAAAAATAAATAAATAATAAACATCATTACACTATGTCAAACTAATACATTCCTCGCTACACTCCGAATCTAAAATAAAGTCGTACTGCCCATGTAGGCGCCGATAGGGTTTGAAATGACGCGTGTTTCGGTACTGCCATAATATTACGTCTTTTTATCACTTTCCGGAAACCGAACGCCAATACGTCCAGCCGAAATATTTAGTGTTACC